CTTATATACTCACACATTATGAAGAAAAGCACTCAAGTTATTGCAGGTCTGCTTAAGATGTTTCTCTCCTGATTACATACAGTAACAAAGATAACTATGTATATATATCTTGATATATCTTGATGTATATTTTCTTTACACAAAATTAGCATCATACTTAAAATCAAAAATAGATTTATGTTTTAATCTTAATATGATACTATAAACATTTTCCTTTCTTTAATGCATTTTTTTAATGTTTATGTATTTATTTTGAGAGAACACATGTGCATGCACGAGCAGGACAGGGACAAGGAGACAGGGAGAGAGAGAATCATAAGCAGGCTCCACACAACACGAAGCCCCATGCAGGGCTTCGATCCCACAACCATGAGATCATGACCTGAGCCAAAATCAAGAACTGGATGCCTAACCAACTGAGCCACCCAGGTGCACCTAAACATATTCCTAAGTAGTAGTTAAAACATGAATAAAATTTAAAGTTAGATCTGGGCTCAAATTCAGATTCTACCATTTACTTACTATCTGTGTGACTTCAGGCAAGTATGTATCTTCTCTGTGTCTAGGTTTTCTCATCTATGAACTGAGGCAATTTTACTAATTGTCTCGCAAGTTTATAAAGAAGGAGAATTCAGGTAAAATTCTTAGCACAACATTTGACATATGCCAAGAACACATTAAACAATTATTATTATTATCCAAAAAGGGGATCTTAATGGCACCATAATATTAGATGCTGAACATTTGTGTTTTTTCAAACTTTCCACTACAATAAATCTGAAATCTTGGTCTGTATGTCTTGCTCATAAATCTTGGCCTAATGTCTTTGGTTGTTCCCTTAAACTCAAGAGCTAACATATTACACCAAACTTTTTTATTTTCAAGTGAAGTTTTAACAGAAAGGGAGAATAAATAAAATCTATTAATAAGGGAATGCTGAGAAACTGAAATGCTTGGTGAAACAAGCAAAAACCTCTCCCTGGGGTAGCTGAGATGGCTCAGCATGAGGAAAGTTTGAAAATCACTGAGCAAGAAACAAATGTTAAAGTCCTCTCTCTCACTGGAATAAACAATGGGTTGCCAGAATGTGATTGTTCTGGTGCTGTGCCGCAGGCAAACACAGAACAATAGCACTGTGGCTATTTCTTTTAAGCATTCCACAGCTAGGAAGAAATTCAAGCCCTATAAATCCTGTATTCTTTCACAAAGATACTAAGCTTAAAGTGAATGGTTTAGTTAACTCCCTGTATGTAATACAAGCAGTGAACAGATTTTAATGCCACTGGGTAGATCAGTAAAGAAATAAGCTAGACTTTTCATAAACCTATCCTATTAGGAAAAATAAAATGTGGTTTTGGCTACATTAACCTGATTTTCTGCTTCCCTATTATACCAGCACTCAACTGTCAATCAAGTCATAAGTGTAAGAATCAAAGAAATGGTACTTCTATCATAAATGGATTGGAAATGTTCCATAGCAAACTTCTCTTTTTTAATTTAATGTTTATTTATTTTTGAGAGAGAGACAGAGAGAGAGAGAGAGAGAGAGCGCGCGTGAGAGAGAGCACGTGCGGGGAGGGGCAGAGAGCGAGGGAGACACAGAATCCGAAGCAGGCTCCAGGCTCTGAGATGTCAGCACAGAGCCCGATGCGGGGCTCAAACTCACAAACCGCAAGATCATGACCTGAGCTGAAGTCGGACACTCAACTGACAGCCACCCAGGTGCCCACATTCCTTAACAAACTTAATCAAAGCATCAAAAGAATTTCTTATCCATCTATAAAAGGCCACTAACTAATCAAAGTAATGTCTATTTAGGTGCAACATTCATAACTCTTTTCAAGGTTCAAACCAACCAAAAAAATGTCAGGCATTAAATTACATCCAAATAAAATATTTTATGGAGATTTTGGATAAATATGTTCTATAAGAGATAACAGGCTCAATGCTAACATTCAATAATTAAGTTTCCTGAGGCTATCAACTTTGCTAAAGAAATTAAAATAAAACAAAATTTGCCTTAGTTTGCTTTTATTTAAATACTTTTTGAAAATGCGGGAATTAGAAAATACATAATAGGGGTGCCTGGGTGGCTCAGTTGGTTAAGCGGCCGACTTCGGCTCAGGTCACGATCTCGCGGTCCATGAGTTCGAGCCCCACGTCGGGCTCTGTGCTGACAGCTCAGAGCCTGGAGCCTGTTTCAGATTCTGTGTCTCCCTCTCTCTGACCCTCCCCCATTCATGCTCTGTCTCTCTCTGTCTCAAAAATAAATAAACGTTAAAAAAAAAAAGAAAATACATAATAAAACAATACAAATTATAAACAAATAATGTAAATTACTCTGTGGAAAATAAGAGATATAAATTATAAAATAATCCTAAACTTCCCAGAGTTTGCAGGTTACAATATTCCCTACTGAAGTATCAAGCCTGCAACCGCAGCTTGTTTTTAAAACAGGTGTCCAAGAGAATGTCACTTGATCTAACGTGTCCTTGCTTTGGTAAGTGATACTGACACTGAGGCCAAGAATAAGAATTATGCTTTGACTAGGTCTCTGAACTGACCACAGTCTATTCAAGCTACTTTAGCATTTGAACACCAAGCAAATATGCTTATGTTAATTACCGTCATGTGATCTTGACATGAATTAATCCCTGTTCCTATTAACTTCCCTAGTAAATGAAGCTTTAATGCTTAACTGATAACAAAGTGCTGGGATAATCCAGAGCAATACAAATTTAACAGATGAGGGAGCAATAAGTAATGGCCATTCATCTTATTAATATAATACATATTTATTTCACATGGCAGAAAGACTGTATTAAAATTACATCCTGGCCTAGCGTTAAAACTGAAACCAAGATAGGTAGGGAGGGGTGGGAATGTAATTCCTATTTAGATGTTCATATTTTCTCCACAGTAAGTTTTTCACGTGTTGGTACTGATGATTATAGGATGTCACAGAATTTGATAATCAGACAATATGAATCAACAACTGATAGGGTTTGACAGTTTGTTAACTCATCTAGTAATTACTTGCTTACAACAGCATACAAATAGCAGTGACTCCAATCTCCATAAAGGGTATTTTTATTCAGAATATAGTATCCCTAACCACCACTCTAGGTAACCAAAGTACCATAACTTCTAAAAACAAATGTTACAAGTCAGAACTTGTTTTTTATTTGATTAATATTAATCCTAAAAATGTAACAACTAAATACAGTTGGTAATTAAAAATATAGTTTTATTTATTGGAACAAAGCAGTACCATGCTAGAATCTATTAATTTAGATATTTCTTTAAGGCAGTAACCCTATAGTACTACTTTTAGGAAACTGACTCTACCCAAATTGATATTATGGCTTGAACAAGTGGGTCTAGAGTCACGCATGATCTGTTCGGGTAAAATATCCACAAATGCTTTCTGTGTGTTGGTTATTGTCTAGACTTTGATTTTTTCCTCCTTTTCCCCATAACTATTATAACTACTCCCACTGCTACTGGCTCATTCTTATTAAGCAGGAACTCAAGATGGAAAACACATTTAAGTGAAAAAAAAAAAAAAACAGCTTACAAAATATTGTATTATAATTCTATTTCTGTAAAATCACAAGTGTCCTTACAGATGTGTGTTTTAAAAATGAGAGTTCAAATACTAGTAGTGGTTATCTTGGAAGGTAGAATTACGTATGAACTTTTATTTTTGCTTTCTGTTTTATTATTTTTGAAACGTACAATGAACATTTAAGATGAAAAATCTACTTTATTTTTTTTTAATATTTTTTTAAAAATTTATTTATTTTTGAGACAGAGAGAGACAGAGCATGGGTCAGGGAGGGTCAGAGAGAGAGAGGGAGACACAGAATCCGAAGCAGGCTCCAGGCTCCGAGCTGTCAGCACAGAGCCTGATGCGGGGCTCGAACTCATGGACTGTGAGATCATGACCGGAGCCTAAGTCGGACGGACTCCCAACCGACTGAGCCACCCAGGCGCCCCAAAATCGACTTTATTTTTAATCATGTACTGTGTACTGTGTCCTTGACATATTTATTATTTAATAGTGGGTCAATAAAAAGAATATTTATATTTGGTTCTTAAATAGCAATAATTATATAATAGAGTAGGGGAAAATGCAAGCAAGCCTTAACGTTATTCAGCTTTAGACAAGCCACTGTTTCAACTATTTCAAAACAGGATAAATTAAAAATGAGGAGTGAGCTTGAAGAGTCATTTCAACCTATTATTTATTACTGCCAACAAGGCGACTCACAGAAGCAACAAGGTCCTGCTGGTGGGATCCCTGCCATCAACATTCATATCTACACCTTCTAACATTTTAGAAATCACTTAAGAAATGCTCAGAGGTTTACTAAGTGGCAATCTAGTGCACTCACATAAGATCTCTGGGCCTTTTTTCCCTTATGGAATTTAAGAGACAATAAAACAGATTTGGATACAAAAGTATTTTAAAGAAGCAGGTTATGACCTAACCTAAAATTGAAAGCATTTATGAATAGATCCAAAGGTAATTATATCTTTCAGTACTTAGGTATTCAAAAATCCAATCTTTTTTTCTCTAGGGCTCAAAGTTCTTTACTTTTGTCACTAGTTATTTTTCATCTAAATGAAAAGTCCTCACTTTTACAATCTGTAAAAGAATGAAGTTCAGAGAAATAATCTTCAGGGTCCCTTTGAGTCTTAAAATTTTATTACTCTCTGAAAGGCCATATTAATCATTATTTTTTCTTAGTTTTGACAGGAATTAATAACTGAGAAAAGTGGTATTTTTAGCTTTATTTACAGAGTCCAGAATTACTTTTCATTACAAGAGATTCTAAGAAATATATATATTTTTATTTATCACTTCAGTGACTACATAAAAATATAGCAAGAATATTTTCACTAATAAAATCTGAAATCATTCAAAATAATAATAAAAAAGAAATTAACATTGGTATTAAGTACTTTCAAGAATATTCCAAAAACGAATAACCCACCTGATGACCTGGTTACAGTGGGCACACATTGGAGTTCGTTTCCCTGCAGGAATGTGCTCAGCTCTTTGCACTAAAGTGCCTTGGTCATGTGACTGGGGCTGTCCCCTGGCTGAGTTGGCTGGTGCTACTGCTCCTGATGAGGCTGCACTGTTTGAGATTCTTCCACTGGAAAGTGCTAGGAATTAAGACACAGAAGAATCAGAATGAGAATAAGCCAAATATAAAGTTTTTCTAATATTCAAATAATAATATTACTTTGTAAAATCATCTATTCATATATAGCAACACGGGCCTACCTCAAGAAGCAAGAAAAATCTCAAATACACAATATAACCTTACACCTAAAGGAGCTAGAAAAAGAACAGCAAAGGAAGCCTAAAGCCAGCAGAAGAAAGGAAATAATAAAGATTAGAGCAGAAATAACTGATACAGAAACAAAACAAAACAAAAACCTAGTAGAATAGATCAATAAAACTCAGAGCTGGTTCTTTGAAGGAATTCATAAAACTGATAACCCCCTAGCCACGCTTATCAAAAAAAAGAGAAAGGACCCAAATAATAAAAATCATGAATGAGAGAGGAGAGATCATAATCAACACCACAGAAATGCAAACAATTATAAGAGAATATTATGAAAAATTATATGCCAACAAACTGAGCAACCTGGAAGAAATAGATAAATTCCTAGAAACATAAACTATCAAAACTGAAATAGGAAGAAATAGGACATTTGAACAGACTGATAACCAGCAAAGAAATTGAATTCGCAGTAAAAAATCTCCCAAGAAACAAGTCCAGGGCCAGATGGTTTCCCAGGGAAAATCAACCAAACCTTTAAAGAGAAGTTAATTCCTATTTTTCTCAAACTGTCCCAAAAAATAGAAATGGAAGGAAAATTTTCCAACTCATTCTATGAGGCCAACATAACCTCAAAAAATTAAAAATAGAAATACCAGGGGTGCCTGGGTGGCTCAGTCAGTTAAGCGTCCAACTTTAGCTCAGGTCATGATCTCATTGTTGGTGGGTTCAAGCCCCATGTTGGGCTCTGCGCTGACAGCGCAGAGCCTGGAGTCTGCTTCTGGTTCTGTATCTCCCTCTCTCTCTGCCCCTCCCCCACTCGCACTCTGTCTTTCTCTGTCTCTTGAAAATAAATAAATGTTAAAAAAGCTATTTTAAAAACAGAAATACCATATGATCCAGTAATTCCACTATGGGGTATTAACCCAAAGAAAACAAAAACAGTAATTCGAAAATATATATGCAACCCTACGTTTTCTGTTGCATTATATACAACAGTCAAAATATGGAAGCAACATAATGTATCCATCAACAGATAAGGAAGATGTGGTAAAGATATATAATGGACTATTACTCAGCCATAAAAAGGAATTAAATCTTGCCATTTGCAACAACACGGATGGACCTAAAGTAAGTCAAATAAGGCAGGAGGTTGGGGGGATGGGAGAAATGGGTGGAGGGGATTAAGAGATATAAACTTCCAGTTATAAAATAAATAAGTCACGGGGATGAGAAATACAGCTTAGGGAATATAGTTAAAAGTACTGTAATAACATTTGTATGGTAACAGACGGTAACTACATTTACTATGGTAAGCATGGTATAATGTATAGAATGGTCAAAAACCACTATGTTATACACCACTATGTTATACAACTAATATAACATTGTATGTCAACTATACTTGATAAAAACTTTTAAAATAATAATAATTATTTTCAGGCAGGAAGACACACACATTTCAAGATAACGGGTTAGCTTTGGGAAAGACACAAAGGAAGTGAGCAAAATTGCAAAGTGGCTTCAATCACATCTGTAATACTGTATTAAATATTAAAGCAAATGCAGAATTATATAAAAAAAAACCTATTCATTTGCTTATTCACTCACTCACATTTATGGAGACACTATGTATCAAACACTGGACTGTGACTACAGAAATAAACAGAAAAGAAAATCAAGGATTACAACACAGTGAAAGAGTCTTAAAATTTTATTACTGTCTGAAAGGCCACATTAAATGTTTGGTTTTTTTTTTTTTTTTCTTAGTTTTGACAGGAATGAATAACCTAGAAAATTGGTATATTTAGCTTTATTAAGTCTGGAGTTACTTTTCATTACCAGGGATTCTAAGAAATGTGTGTGTGTGTGTGTGTGTGTGTGTGTGTGTGTGTGTGTGCGTGCATTATACCTATGTATATAAATACATACAAATATAAATATAAAAATAAATATATATAATGTGTTATAAGAAAAGCAGAGTTGCCTCTGCTTCCAAGAGGAGATGCAGTTAAGCTGAGCATTGACAGCAAGATACTTCTACTCATCTAGACATCTCTGCTAATCATCAGATAGATTTAACTCCAAGTACATCAGAGGCACATTAAATATCTCAATGTGTTACAAGATAATAAAAATAAAAATGAACTCAATGTATTACCTCTCTTCCTGTATTCTCTAAGTAGACTGTAAAATCGGTCATCCAGTCATATAAGGTAGCTACTTAAGAACCATTCTAGGACCTTCCTCTCTCTCATCTGTGGTAATAATGGGTCCTGCTGATTTTACATCACAAGTACTTCTTGATTTTGCCCATCATCACCCATTCCGACAATACCGTCCTGGTTTAGGTCCTAAATCTCTCCCACCTTGCTGGTCGCCAAAATGTCTTATCCTTCAATGCATCCTCCCAACTGCCACCAAGGACTGAAATCTTATCAGGTCACAACTCTGATACAGCACTTCAAGCATCTCCTTCTTCTCTGACCACTGAATGTAGTCCATGCTTCTAAGCACTGCATTCAGGGCCCTCCAAGTGCTCTCTGCCTGCCCCACAGTCTCACTGCTCACCACCCTTTGCCTCAGTCTTCATGCTGCAGCAACGCCCAATGCCTCAAGTTTTCTTGTAAGCCCATCTATGCACAGGCTGTCTTCACTGTCCTTTCTCTCCCCTTCTCTCTATTTACCTAGTAGCCACTACATAGCATTTAAGATTCAACCCAGAAGTCAACTGCTCTAAAAATCTTCCCTGAAGTACCTCTCCCCACTGCCCATGCCACATAATCCAGATTAAATGTTTCTCTTTCACATTCCCATAATTTTCTGTGAATAACTTTATTACTGTTTCTACTTCACATATCTGTGCCTCTTCCTCCCCAACTAAAAAGCAAGCTCCCTGAGGGCAGGAACTATGCCTTATTCCTCAGCCTAGGAGCTAATACGGTGTTTGGAATGAACAAATGAATCAATGAATGAACTGGAATCAATACATAACTGAATGGGGCGCCTGGGTGGCTCAGTCAGTTGAGCGTCCAACTTTGGCTCAGGTCATGATCTCACGGTTCATGAGTTTAAGCCCCACATTGGGCTCTCTGCTGTTAACGCAGAGCCTGCTTTGGATCCTCTGTCTCCCTCTCTCTGTCCCTCCCCGACTCGTGCACACATGCTCTCTCTCTCAAAATAAATAAACATTTAAAAAACATAAACGAATGTAAAAACTGTGACAACCTGGAACCAACAGGAGGGCTGCTCCTTACCCACAGGCAATTACGATATAGTGGAAAAGACATATATTCAAAAAACATTTAAAAGGACTAACTCTTATTTATAATAAATAAATAATAATATAAATTTACTGCATGTGTGTGTATTGACAGGATTCATTTTACAGCTGTGGTTTTAATTGGTAAGATTAATTGGGCTAATTGAAAGAATAACTCTCCCTTACCAGAATAAAGCCTGTTTGCAATGATGGGCAATTACAGATTCAGAAACCCAGCTTTTATAAACACATAGCACATCTACAGGGCTCTCTGCCTGGCACTTGAGCCATGAAATGCCATTTTACAGACCAGTGAGCTTTACCATTGTCCTTGTTTCAAGTGACTCAACTGGGCTAGGAAAATGTTTTCACTCCCTTAGATTCATGCTTCCTCGTATAGAAATGGGAAAGAATATTACTGTGTACATTCTTCTTCCTTGTTACCGCGTTTACTTACACAGCACAACTTGCTCCTCTGTGCGTCTTCCATTTCTGTATCCAGACCTGATTTCTCTTAGAGCAACAGATAAGCATTTTCAATGCCAATTCCTGTTCTTGTCTTTAAATTCAAGATATGAAAAATGGATTTCATCTTTTTCCACACATTACCTCAGAACTCCTTCCTGTATGTCTGAATTGTGCCACTTAGTGAGGCACAGCGCTCTGTCTCCTATGTGCCTGACAGTCCGCAGACCCTAACAACTGTTCTGCTGTAAATGTTTCCAAGGTCTGTCCCTTCTTTTTAATCCAACCCATGATCTGTCATTTGAGTCCTGGTCTTGAATCTCTCAAGTCTGGACAACTGCAAGTCTCCTAACCAGTCTCTCTGCTGCCAATTTCTTTCCAACCTTTTCTGCTGGATTATTTTCCCAAATACACTACTCTCATCATGGTTTCTTGCTTATTCAGTCTTGACAGCCCAGTCCCTCAAGGAGCTCACTCCGGTCTTCTTTATGACCTTGTCTTTTATGCTCACTCACATCCCTGCCATCACCCTACTCTATTATAGTTACTTAATATTTAACTTGTGCCATCACTATTTGAAGGCACTCTTGTCAAATCCTTATAACAGCTCTATGATTCAGGCAAGATTAGCACCACTTTTTTTTATTCTGAGGCAAAGAATGGTAAGAGACTGGTCCAAGGCCACACAGCAAATAAAAGGCAATCCTGAACCTAGGCGGTTTGGCTCCAGAGTCTGTGTTCTTAACCACTATGCTATAGTTTACTCACTGTCCCTTGAACATGTCAGGTTAGGCCCTGCCTCTATGACCATTAGCCAATGAAATGTCCCTTTCTCCAGTACCACTCATACTTTTCTCCTTCTACAAGGCTCATGGAAGTTCCATTCCCTGAGCTCCCTGCCACCACCCCATCTGCCCTGAAGATCCCAGCTAGCAGTGTCCTTGCTCTTTTTTT